GGTCACATTTGAGCATACAGAGTAAGCAAATATGTACTTGTAATGTGCTCAGATAATTTCAATAAGTGCTTACAGAGGGGAAATTAATGTAGCCTCTAACTGCAATTGATTTACATCGGACAAACAGACCAAGCGCTATGGCTCATAATACAATTACACCTTACTTGTTTGGACTATATTTTTATATTTCATTTTTACTTGCTGCCAGGAACGTTTGGGGCCTGTTGGGTTGCACCTGCGCTCACATCACATCATAAAATAAAATGTATAAAATAAAAAATAAAATATAATAAAATAACGTGTTAAATGGGTGGAAATCCCTAGATCAATGTTTAAATTAACACTCACGCATTGACTCTGTCGGCTATGTTTTGCCATGCATGCTCCCTTTCTTTTGCAGCTGAGGCTGTGTTACTTTTTTTCCGCAAAATTTGCATGTTATCGGCATATGCTGCCATCAGAATTTCGGCCTCAAGCGCTGTAAAATACATTGACCGCGCCTTCTTTCCCTCTGTCTCCATGGTGACTCGCTTAATCTGTGCTCCACTAATCAGGGCTTTATGTATCCTCGTGCGCGCGCTTAACTTGGGGTTAAAGCAACTCCGCGTTGACTGAACGCAAGGAGGTATTTCTGTAGTCTATTGATACTAGATAGTGGAAAAGGGGTGGGATTAAATAAGCTTACGCTTCTTCCTGCTCCTTTTTGAACATTGACGTTATTTGGAGTTGTGGTTGCTCATTTTCCTTTTGTTTGCTTTGTTCATTTGTCTCTTTTAATTCTATTTTTTTTTATACTTTTTCAACATGTTCAAAATAAAGATTCAATCAATCAATCAATCAAACTAATTGTTATCAGCCTTTCTGAAACCGAATATTCTGAGTTGGACAGTTCGGGGTTACTCAACCCTGAGTATCGTTTTTCACTCTGAGTTTTCTAAACCGACTTCCTGAAATAGGGCCCCGCTGTCAGACCTGCAGGTTTATCCCTGTGCTGTTCTCCTCTGTCTTAGAGTGGACACAAACTATGTACAATTGTATGTACAATAATGTACAATTTGTATTTGCATTTCAAGTTATGAAAATGATTCCTTAAACATGCTTGTGGTTTTTACAGTCAGAAATATCACTTTCTACTCGTATTTTACATTTTGTCTGAATTTAGATAACTTGTGCTGATACAGTTTGTCAAAATGAGAAAATAACAGATTGGCAAGATAAACAGTTTTTAAAGGTGAAATATAGAGGCTAAATCAAAACGAGTCAAAAACGGCCAGTTATACCCTGGACCCCAGAGGGTTAGAGGCTAAAAGCAAAGATGTCACCAAGTACTGTTTATATTTGTGTGTATTGCTGCAGCTTATTTGAGTATTAACTTGGTGCCTTTGGGTGAAATAATGGTAATATGAGGGAGCGATCTATATGGTCACAAAGAATAGCCACTTGTTTCTGTGCTACCAAAGTTCCCCGGCTTTCATTCAAAATGTGTTTATCGTCAGCACCGACACATTAAACTGCTTAAACATTATAAATGTCTTCAAGCTCACACTGAGGCCTGTGGGGCACAATCAGCCACAGAGACAGTACACACATTTATGTGTACTTGTACATGAATATTTCATACTTTAAGTCTGCCTGTTTATTTAAGGGAGATGAACAAAATACATTGGAATTGTACATAATAACATCACAGATGATAAATTAAATAGATTTTAAGTAGATGCTTGTGCATTCTTAAAGTCTCATATGTTGCATTGAACTATGTGATCTATTCAAAGCCTCCCAGTCAGTGCTGTTCTCCATGCCTGTCTGACTGTACACGATGTTATTAGCACAAACACTTTAAAGGTATTATTTAGGACTTCAGCAATAATACAGACAGCAATGTAGTTAGCAATAAAACAGTTTAATTGGGAATTAACAAACAACAAACAAACATCTGTCTCCTATTTTTTGTCACACAGGAAAGAAGCATCAATATCTGATGAGAAGACTTATTTCCTTTTTGGGGGGTTTTCAACAGGAGATGAATATCTCTAACAAGTTGATTTGTTCACATTTTCACATCTTCATTTTTAAGTGAAATGTGCATTTTGAGTTTATACACTATATGCATATAAGGAGCTTTATCACCAATGATAACTACCCTCATAAACACTACATGCATACAGCATTCAAATGGATTTAAACTGCAGTAGCTGCATAAATGAGGACCAATGAACTGTTACTGTTTCCTTCCTGTCACAGATGTAGTCACTGAGTTTGCTGCTGCTCCTTTGCAACGAGATGATGATACACTAAAGACTGATGCACAAAATCTATACACTGCTTCAAATATACATTGAATACATTTGGTGTGAAGCCCCGTATCAGCTGATGAACACAAACTTCATACTTACTGATGTTCATGTAAATGTTCACAGCAGGTGTTGGTAATCCATGCACTTTCACAGAAGTGAAATGATTAACTAAAAATACTTTTACATTGTAATCAACAAAGCAGAGTGTCACTAATTCAAAGTATCTCATTAAACTAATGCAGACTCCTTTAACATATCTTTACCTTATGGTGAAATTTTAGTTTGGTCATAAGTTCACTCACAGGAAGTAAGCGCGCACAAGTTAAAAAGGAAATGGTGTCCTTAACCAGAAGTGACTGTGAGACAAGATGAAGTCCTCTCTCAGCTCCTCTCTGTTTTCTTACAAGTATTCGTAACTACTGTATTAATAAATAATGAAATTGTTTTGCAGTATTCAGTAACTCAGTAATGTTGCTCAGATTGTCTAACTATATAATGACAGTCTTTTAAAAATTCAGGAGATAATCATTTAGTTTCAAAAACAGAAAGAAACTCAATGACAAAAATCTGATTAATGACATTTACAAACATTTCACTCTTGTACAAACTGTTTTCAGTGAGATCAGATGAAGTAAATTCAGATGATGAAACTCAGTTACACAGCTACATTTTTGGATAGCAGAGCACAGCTGCAAACACAGCAGCTGTTTATAGACTTGAATGTGTCTTACAGAATTAGAGGTATACGTATCACAGATCAAATAAAGGAAGCAACACAAGAATCAAGGCTGAGTTGCCATGGAATGGTAAATGGTAAATGGCCTGTATTTATATAGCGCTTTACTAGTCCCTAAGGACCCCAAAGCGCTTTACATATCCAGTCATCCACCCATTCACACACACTGGTGATGGCAAGCTACATTGTAGCCACAGTCACCCCGGGGCACACTGACAGAGGCGAGGCTGCCGGACACTGGCGCCACCGGGCCCTCTGACCACCACCAGTAGGCAACGGGTGAAGTGTCTTGCCCAAGGACACAACGACCGAGACTGTCCAAGCCGGGGCTCGAACCGGCAACCTTCCGATTACAAGGCGACCTCCCAACTCTTGAGCCACGATCGCCCCCCCATATATGGAAATCTGATTACGTACAGTTACTAGTGAAATACAGTTGTGCTTACTTCCCTCCTCGCTTCATAAGATGGTGGACTCCAGCTCATACTGAGGCGATTTGCCACAGAGTGTCAAGAGGAGGGAATGAGAATCAGCACCGACAGCTCTGAGCTGTGATTTTCAGCTCAGAAACGATGAAGTTCTAACTGTGGTTTAGGGATGAGTTGTGGCCCAAAACACAGGCGAGTGTGGAGTGAGAGATTGGCAGCAGGATTGTGTGATACTGGATGATATACAGTGATGGACAATTTGGACACATATTTAAATGTTATAAGAGAGATTATTATAAAAGAGCTGTTATGAAAAAAAATGACCTAAAACTCATTTTGAACCTTTTAAAAAGATGATTAAAAACATTTACAATAAAATTTGAATATTTATAAGAAATCAAACAAAATGACAGGAGAAAGAGTATGTGCAGTTATTTACACTGCAGGATTAACCTGGTCCTGGACTAGTTCTGTTAAACAGTCATACAAGACATCTGATGTTTGCCTGAATAGGAAGTCTCGCAGTGTCACTTCTCATGACATGGATGAAGTGCTGCACAAGATTGTCTTTTGGAAAGTGGAGAATCACACAGGGTGATCTGCAGGTGGTTCTTGTGGAGTCTTGTTTTTTTTTTGTTTTGTTTTTTTCCATTAAATGGATTTTTGTGGCTGGGTCAATCAACCACTAAGATGACACTAAGAACCCAAATTGACAGTATTTCTGTCCTGCCTGGAAAGGCAGGGCTCAATGTCTACTCACAGTTCTTTAGTGACACACAAAACTCACACCTTGCATAGACATCCACTGCTGAGTTAGTCTGCAAGGTGGCTCTTACTATATGTTAGTTAAAACTCTGTGCTCTGGACCATATACCATATGCTCAATAGTGCAACGGTGCTCTCTCGCCACAAGGGGGATCTCCCACACAGTTGACAGCCTTTCCAACAATTTCATTGATACATACATATGAAATGAAAATACACATTTGTGCTAAAAGTTCTATGTCCTATTTTACTATTTGTACATGTTTACTTTTATGGCTAAAAGTCTAGATTTTGCCATTTGGACTTTTTTTCTTTTGTTGTTGTTTTTTTGTTCATTTAACTCTGTTTCACAAGTCTGACACATTTATTCAGCATGTAACAGCTACAAAAAACTGATCTATGGTATATATTTGAAAGAAACATAAACTCAGACTATCAGGATCATTGCTTTGAATTCAAAATCTCCTTTTCACTAAAAGTGACTTCAAGTTTTTAAAAGACTTTAAAGAGAAAAAGAGAGGGAAAAACAGTGCTGCTGTTAAGATTTTAGAGCTGTGGCTGAATTTGGATTGACATCATTGTAGTCAGAGCTCTCCTCTGGGTCACCACGTTGCTTTGTTGAGGTGATCAAATGAAAGCATTTCAAAACAAACTCGCTCTGTTTTGTCCACAAATGCATTTATTATCAGTGAGAATAATTACCAATGTATATTTTGCATTTCAAATCTCACATTTTGTGCACTCACTTGTCTTGTTAATGACTTTGAGAATCCCAGATGTGACATTGTTGTAATCACCTTCTGCTGGACCTGAAATAAGAATCTTATTGACTTTCATGTCAAACACAGTTTTTGTATAATCATCCAGCTTCCACAAGCTCTGTATTAATGAAAGTGTAAACTTTACCATTTTCAGTGTTTTCACACCTTCTGACTGTCTCATAGACACAACGATCACCTGCAGGTCAGAGAAAATCAGTCACCTCATGTCTGTGATACTAATTTAAACACAAATATTCTTGAAAATAACATTTGTATTAAAAGTACAGGTACAGTCTTGTTGCAAATAGCATCAGAAATTTTGAAACTACATGAAAAACTAACCATGAAGAAGAGAGGAGTACACTTGCTGCTGATCTTCATCCCGATTGAGCGTCTGCTCATTAGCAGCACCTTTATTAAAAATTATAAACAATATGTTTGTTTTATGTTCTTGTGGATTATACATTCTTGTGAACAGTTCACACTTTATGACCCTGTGCTGCATCTGTTTATTTAGTCATTTTTAAAAATAAAATATCTAATATCAGAAGAAGAAAAAAAACAAAGTCTCACCTTTGAACTTTTTGCAGCAATACAAGAGCAGGAGGAAAATCAATGTAATTCCAGAAATTAGTCCAACGATCATCAGAACAGGAAACAAAGAGATTTCAGCAGTGGGGACATCTGCTGTAGTTGAGAAACATATTTAAAAAACTGGACTGAATAAGTCTGGACTGGACTATAAGTTATTATAATAACATGAGAGAAACAGATAATACACCAGTGTCTGCCAGGTGCAGCCCACACACTCTCTCCTGTGTAATTTACTCCCCATAGAAACGTTAAGCTTCTGTTTCAAATCATACTTGGGTAATGTGTCAGCATTGTGCTCTTTTTTTTCAGTAATAATAATTATACAGTAGATATTGAGCCAGCCTAGAAGTGGATTCATATCGTCATCTATTCTAAATATTGTATAAAGAACATAATGAATACTGACAAATTGAAGTAATCACTCTAATCTGTCTTTACACCTGTAGACTCCATCATGGGGTTAAAAAGCATGTTTAAACCTGAATTAGTTTTTCTTTAGAAGTTTAGTAGTTTTCCATTCATACTCCCACTCAGTGTCTTCTCCGTGGATCTCACATCTGCTAATTATCTTATCTATCACTTTTTGTATTTCTAGAAGAAAATATAAATAAACTCACCAGTTGTGTTAACGTGAACTTGTTGGCTGTCCTCTGTGTAGTAAACTGGGTTTCCTCTTCCTCCTCTGCACCTGTAGAGTCCTTCCTGTGAGACACTGATTTGTCCATTTGAGTGGAAAACTGCATCTTGTGTGGTCAGGGCTTCAGAGGAGTTCTCATCTCTGTACCAGTAGTATTTCCATCCAGATGATGATGATGGGTTCACAGAGCAGGTCAGGGTCACACTGCCCCGCTACTGGAATGTCTCTCATATCAGACGTTATTTGAGCCCTTGGTTGATCTGCTGTTGAATTTAATCAAAGGGAGAAAGAAAATTAAGCCTGTGTGTGGGGTAAATATATACCACACACAGGCTGGGAACACACCACCTCATGTTATCAGTGTATGTTGTATATATATTCCTCTGTGTCCAACAACACAAAGGAAGGAATATGACCAAATTTAAATGGTATGAGTACTCCTACAGACCTATAATGCATTTCATTCTTTTGCTGCTTTTTCTAAAAATTTCACTATGATTCTTCTTCGGATTTATATAATAGTACTTGTGCTTATTCTGTGTGATTCCTTCCCATTACCACAACAGAAGACTAACCAAAGACACAGAACTTCTTACTAATGGAAGTTTATAATTCCCAGATCATGTAGCAGCACAAAGTAATTTGAAATAGGAACACTTTAATAATGAGACTTTTAATTTCAGATTAATTTTTTTCATTTGTTTTGATTATTTGTTCATGGCAACAGCTTGATGAGGGAATAGTATTCTTCCTACATCATTAGCAGAAATATATCAACATATCTCCCCAATTGTCCCATAAAAACGTTTTGCAGAATCATAAAAAAAGGGTTACAATGACAGCATTAAATGTACTCAGAATTTCATATTTCAGATGAGTATTTCAACAGGAATCATCAAATTACTGGTCACTGAGGACTTACCTAATACAGTTATAGAGACAGTATTACTGTTCTTTGTATAATACGCGCGCTTACAGCTGCCAGAGCACTGATATTCACCACCATCACCTGTAGATGTCATTTGTAATGTGGAGTCTTTGTGTGTGCTGTAGGGGGTAAAATTTTGACCATCCTTGGTGATTTTGTATTGCCAGTCAGTATCTTCTCCTTCATTCATGTCACATATGAAAGTAACAAACTCTCCAATGAAAAAACTGAATGAGTTGGGTTCAATAGTTAGCACAGCATCTAGATTGAAACACAGACCATAAGGAATCTAAAACACTAGTAGTGAAGGCAAAATCTGTTCATAACATGAAAATATAGTGATTAAAAAAATAAATAGAAACATGATAAAGAGTGATGCTTTAGTTTGAGATTGATTTTTAGTAAAAAAAAGAAAGAAGTTAAAACAAAGTGAAAACTGTTCAGTTACAGAATTAGGATCACAAATCAAATAAAGGAAGCAATAAGAGGAAGCAAGTAGTTCAGCAAATAGCATTCGTATTAGCATTCAGGGAAATTGGCAGATTAATTGGAGGTACATTTGCAATGATGTTGACCCTGTACTGGTCTGTTTTGGTAAAGGGTGGACTGAGTGTGAAAAGCGAAGCTGTCTGTTGGCAGGTTGATCTATCTTCCTTCCTATGTGTGTGGTCACAAGCTCTGCATAGTGAGTGAGAGAATGAAAAGGCTGCAATAAGCTTCCTCTAATGTATCTTAAAAGTTGTTGTTTTTTTTGTTTTTTTTAAAAACTGCTTCACTGAAAAGTGACTTGCTGCAAAATTATAGTGCAAAAACAAACTATTACCAGGTGCTGTCAGAGGATTGAGCTACAGTCTGGGGGTTATAATTTGAATCTGATCTAGGTCACTCCACCAGAAATCATGAGGTCTTTTATTCTCAGTAGATAAAAATCTGTAGCACCGAAGACATTAATGATCAAGTGTCTTTTAAACAGCAGGCTTCTCAGAGAAAATAGTAGTTATTATTTATCAGTTTGTTCACTGTTTGTGTCATGATCTGGGTGAGTGGCGGGGAAATTACTTCAAGTTCCCGAGTTCCCTTTGTCTCCGCCCCTGGGCAGGTCCGTTGTCTCTCCAGCAGCCTGCACACCTGGAGTTGATTCAGGATAACCTGGTTGAGGAGTTAAGCTCCACATTGACTCTCCTTCACTGCCAGTTTGTCAACAACCTCAAGTTGGTAATTGGCTCCATAGTCCATGCTATTGTCACTTTGTACAGTGCTTACCTTGTTTTCGTGTGCCACAGCCTTCCTGGACTCACCACGCCCCTTACCATCAGCTCCAGTTTCTCTCAGACAATCTCTCCAATCTGAAAACCTCTCTGATTCTTACCTGCCTGCCCTCCAGCCATCTCACACTCTCTCAAACACAGCACAACTCAGGTCAGCCAACTCAAATCTCTAACTCACCTGGATACTCACTGCATCTCTTTCAAAGCCAATTCCACTCCAGCTACAAGGAAGATAAGATAAAATAAGATACACCTTTATTAGTCTACGGAGCCCCGCAGGGGACATGGGAGAAAAAAAATTAAGACGGACTTTTGCGAGATCTCGCAAAACTAACTCGGGATCTCGCAAAAGTTTTAGCCGCATTCTTCGGAGGCTGCCAGCTGGAAGCCGACCGGGAGGTCGAGGCACGATGTGCCGGGAAAGCGGTGTTCCTCCCGGCTGTAGTAGGTCTCGACCTCCCGTTAGCTTCGAGATGGTGGGTGTCAGATCTCCGAAAACGTCGGAGACTTTTGCAAATATGTGATGTCTTGTAAACCGAGCAGATATCTGACGTTTACACAACTACATTCACGCCTCAAAATATCTTAAAAGTTTATTTTGTGACCTAGAAAGAGTAATATTACAACTAAGTAGCTGCCGCCATTGTTGGAATTCAACTGCTGCGAGATCTCGCAAAAGTTTTGCGAGGTCCCGAGTTAGTCTTGCAAGATCTCGCAAAAGTCCGTCTTAATTTTTTTTTCTCCCATGACCCCTGCGGGGCTCCGTATTAGTCCCACACATGAGAAATTTTTTGGTCACGGCACAAAGTACAAGACGTACCCAGAACCGTTCCCTGTGGGGCCCTCGTACTGCAGACGACCCTGTCCGACACACAGCCCTGAGTTCTTACATACTGTGGTCGGTCGGTGAGGTAGTTCAGTATCCATGTAGTGAGGTCATGGTCCACTTATGTATTCTCCAGCTTGTCTTTTAGAATTGTGGGAAGAATGATGTTAAAGGCAATGGAAGAATCAATCAAAGAACATGATTCTCACAGCGGTCTTCAGGTGAGAGAGGAAATGACGTAGGAGGTGAAAGCACAATAACAGTAATATTCACCACCTCCAAGCCTCCCTACTCCTCGCCACCATCCTAACTCCTAACTCCACCCTAACATCTTTCAGTCAACACCAAACCCATCACATGAACTGACTGCTGGAGCTTCTTGCTCTAAAGAATAAGATTTTATGATAACTTTTTATCGTTCATTTAAGTGTCAGATCAGTGCAACCTTCCTTCCTTCCCTGGTTAGCAGGGCCACTGTCAGTGGATCCTTCCACCCTAACACTAAACTACAGTATGTTATATTTTTATAACATAAAATCCTTACCTTCCTTAGTGAAGTTTTAAGCTCAATCAAAGAATATGTGAAATCTCCAGATTCAACTAAAAGAGTTACACATTTATACATAAATGATCATAATCACAGTTTACACATGTATAATTCACTGCATATACTTCAGCATTTTGTGTGTCATCGTGGTCTTTGACTGATTAATCGAGACAAGCTTCACCTATACAAATCAACTAAATGTTAGATTAATGATTAAAATTTCTATATTTGGATTTGATCATCTTTTAAATAAACTGGCCAGAATGTCACATGCATAACAAAATTAATAAAACTTATTGTGGATAAGGCTGACCTGGGAGAGCAGGAGCATGTTGACCATTTTGAGATTCATCCTGGTTGATCATGTGGTTCGTTGCAGAGCTCTGATTTGTGCTCCCAGTTCTGGTGGGACACATAATGTAGTAAAACTTCAAAGAAACACAGGATGTAATTTTAGTTTGATAAAATGGGAGAGGGGAGATTTGAACCAACCTCATAAGGAAGGAATCTGTAAAAAAGACAATTGCATTGATTTATTGTATTGTGTCACTGGTGCAGTAACAGTACATGTAGTCTTCATATGTGGTTCTGGATAACTACATCATATTCAGTCTA